CTAGCATTTGGTGTTTTTAGTGTTTTGAAGTTTTGCCATTCTAAGAGGTATGCACTGGTATTTACAATTCATAACAAATAACATTGACCATATTTTCACAGGTTTGTTTGCCATCTGTATATCTTCTTGGGTGAGATGACTATTCAGATCCTTTTGGCCATTTGTTAATAGAGCACTTCATTTTTTTTTTAGTGTTTAGTTCTTAGTTTTTTTGAACTGAAGAATGATTAACATACAATGTTATATTAGTTTCAAATATACAACATGATTCAATAATTCTATCAGTGCTCATTGCATTAAGTGTAGTCACCATCTGTCACAAAACAATTTTGTTACAGTCACCTTGACTATATTCCATATTCCCTACTTTTCATCTTCACGATTTTTCTGTAAGTGGAAGTTTGTACCTCATAATCTACTTTTTCTATATCACCCATTCTCCCCACCTACCTTACCTCTGGCAACCGCCAGTTTGTTCTTGGTATTTAAGAGTCTTTTTGTCTCTTTTTTTCTTTATTTGTTCATTTTTTTCTTAAATGCCACACATGAGTGAAATCATGTGGTATTTATTTTTGACTGACTTATTTCACTTAGAATTATACCTTCTAGGCCCATCGATGTTGTTGCAAATGGCAAGATCTCATTCTTTTCTTTGGCTGAGTAGTATCCCATCACAGTCACTCTCTCTCTCTTTCTCTCTCTCTGTCTCACACACACACACACACACACACACACACACACACACAAACATCCATTCATCTATGGATGGACACTTGGATAGACACTTCCATATCTTGGCTATTAATAAATAATGCTGTAATAAACATATGGGTGCATATATATTTTTTTGAATTAGTGTTTTTGTTTTCTTAGGGTAAAAGCTCAGTAGTGGAATTATTAGATCATATGGTATTTCTATTTTTAATTTTTTGAGGGAACTCTATACTGTTTTCCACAGTGGCTGTATCTATTTGCATTCCCACCAACAGTGCATGAGTGTTCCTTTTTCTCCACATCCTCACTAATACTTGATATTTCTTGTCTTTTTGATTCTATTATGACAGGTGTTAAATGATATCTCATTGTGGTTTCAATATGCATGTCCCTGATGATGAATGATGTTGAGCATATTTTCATGTATTTGTTCTCTATTTCTATGTCTTCTTTGGAAAATGTCTAAAAAAATAAAATGAAAAAGGTCTGTTAAGTTCGTTGGCCCATTTTTATTATTTATTTATTTATTTATTTATTTTGGTGTTTAGTTGTGAAAGTTCTTTATATATTTTGGATATTAACCTTTTATCAGATAATCAATTGCAAATATCTTCTCCCATTCAGTAGGTTACCTTTTCATTCTGTTTTCTTTGCTGTGCAAAAGACTTTTATTATGGTATAGTCTTAGTAGTTACTTTTGCTTTTATTACCCTTGCATGAGGTGATATGTCTAGAAAATGTTTCTATGGATGATGTCAAAGAAATTACTGCCTATGTGTTCTTCTAGGAGTTTTATGGTGTCAGGTCTCACATTTAGGTTTTTAATCCATTTTGAGTTTATTTTTGTATATGGTGTAAAAATCATGGCCCAGTTTCATTCCTTTCCATGTAGCTGTATAGTTTTCCCAGAACCATTTATTAAAGATACTGTTTTATCCTCATTGTATATTCTTGTCTTCTTTGTCATAGGTTAAGTGACCACATAAGTGTGGGTTTATTTCAGGGATCTCTATTCTGTTCCAATCATCTATGTGTCTATTTTTGTGTCAGTACTATATTGTTTTTATTATAGCTTTGTAGTATATCTTAAAATTTGGAATTGTGATACCAACAGCTTTGCTTTGGCTACATGGGGTCTTTTGTGATTCTATACAAATTGTTCTAGTTCTTTTAAAATGCAATTTGTGTGTTGATAGGGATTGCACTAAATCCGTAGATTGCTTTGGGTATACGGACATTTAACAATATTGGTTCTTCCAATCCATGAGCTTGGAATATCTTTACATTTTCTTGTGTCATCTTCAATTTAGTAGTGTTTTATGGTTTTCAGAGTTTGGACTTTCACTTCCGTGGTTAATTTTATTTCTAGGTATTTTATTCTTTTTGGTATAATTGTAAATGATCGTTTTCTTAATTTCTCTTTATACTACTTTGTTACTTTATACAATTTATACTACTTTATACTACTTAATGTATAGAAATACAACACATTTCTGTATATTAATTTTGTATCCTGTGACTTTACTGAATTCATTTTTCAGTTCTAGGTTTTTGGGGAGTTTGGGGATTTGGTATATATAGAATCATGTTACCTATAGGTAGTAACAGGTTCACTTCTTCTTTACCAATATGGATACCTTTTCTTTTTCTTGTCTTATTGCTTCATCTAGGACTTCCAATACTATATTAAGTGACAGTGGTGAGAGTGGACATGCTTCTTTTGTTCCTGATCTTAAGGGATAAGCTCTCAGTTTTTTACCACTATGATGTTAGCTGTGGATTTTTCATGTATAGCATTTGTTATGTTGAGGTATGTTCCCTCTAAATCTACTTTGCTGAGGATTTTTATCATAAATGAATATTGTACTTTGTCAAATGCTTTTTCTCCACCTATGAGACAATATATGTTTTTCATCCTTTCTCTTGTTAATGTGATTATCACATTGATTAATTTGCAAATATTGAATCACCCTTGCATCTGTGGAATAAACCCTATTCGTTTGTGGTATAGGAGTTCGGTTTGCCAGTATTTTGTTAAGGATTTTTTCATCAATGTTCATCAGAGATATTGGCCTATAGTGTTGTTGTCGTTGTTGTTTATAGTGTACTTATCTGGTTTTGATATTGGGATAATGCTGGCCTCATATAATGGGTTTGGAAGCTTTCCTTATTATCTTTTGGAATAGTTTGAGAAAAGCAGGTATTAATTCTTAAAATGTTTGGTAGAATTCACCTGTGAAGCCATCTAGTCCTAGACTTTTGTTTGTGGGAATTTTTTTTTTTTTTTTTGGATCACTGATTCAATTTCATTTCTAATAATTGTTCTGTTCAAAGTTTCTATTTCTTCCTGATTCAGTTTTGGGAGCTCATATATTTTTAGGAATTCATTCATATCTTCTAGCTTGCCCAGCTTATCAAGCAATTTTACATAATAGTCTCATAATTCTTGGTATTTCTGTGTGTCAGTTATTATTTCTCTTCCTTCATTTCTGATTTTGAGTTCTCCTTTTTATATTGATGAGTCTGGCTAACAATTTATCAATTTTATCTTTTCAAAGATCTGTTCTCTTTCTGTCTCTGTCTCTGTCTCTCTAGTTTTTATTTCTGCTCTTTATTTCCTTCCTTCTACTGCCTTTGGGCTTTGTTTGTTATTCTTTTTCTACATCCTTTGTGTCTGTTTCAGATTTTTCTACCTTCTTGAGGTAGTCCTGTATTGCCATAAACTTCCCTGTTAGAGCCGCTTTTGCTGCATCCCAAAGATTTTGAATATTATGTGTTCATTTTCAATTTGTCTCCATGTTTTTTTTTAGTAATTATTAACTAATAATATCTCCATGTGTGTTTACATGTGAAATTAGCTATTTTGTCTTCTTTGGCATTCCATTCAGACATCTGATTAAAATAAGGCATCACAGTGATTAAAATTACAAATATGATTCACCTTGAACTTTTTGTCTTGTTTTCTGGTCAAGGATTGTGTGCTTACACAAAGAGTAGAGTGATCAAACTTGCAAATTAAAAGCCAATTAGGTGGAGAGAAAAAATGAAGGAGAAAAAAAAAAGCCTCTAGTTGTCTATTCACTATCAGAATTTTCAAAATAATATATGGATAATTGATTTATTCCCTATTTCCATGGCAACCAAGTAGTTTTAATAATACCAAAAATACCTGTGCTTTGCCTTACCTTATCTCATCAGGTTGACTTGCAGTCCGTCGGCCTACCATATTCATTTGCATGTAGCAAGGTGACAGCCACCTTAAACCCTCCTTTGACAACTCAATGAGCACATTCTCTTCTATCCATAACTGCATCTTGAGATGATCACTGAACCCAAATCACATCACTGAGGGACAAGAAGCCTCCATTCCATTCAAAAACCTCTATATGTGTTACTGGGAAAGTAAATTTTTCCACTTACTCGCCTGTGGTGAAGCTTTCAGGTACACAAAGTTTGCTTAAAACTGACAGTAAGAAAGTAAAAAACAGGCTGGGAGACATCACCTGATCCCCAAATGCAACTGTGCCTAATGATTAGGAATGTATTCCTACTCTTTACCTATGAGCGCACTCCTAATCTTTTAGTACATGTGTCAACGCTTTCCTTTCCTTGTAAGCCAAGGTGAATCAGACTTCCTGTCCCTAACAATTCAAAGTCCTAACTTCAAGAATCCTCTACTTTCCTTCAAAACATTTGTTAGAGTGTATTTTTATTATTTTTTTAATGCCAGCTTTCTTTCCTAGGCTGTAGTCTCTGCACAAGCAGCAGCATCTTATATATCCATATGCATCTCAACGCCTAGAATAGTTCTGACCCTTAATATTGAATAACTGAAAAAACAATTCAGGCCAACCATTTTCTTAAAAAGTTAAGAAGATTAAGAAGTTTTCCAAAAAGTTTAAGAAGTTAACATTATGGGGCTACTTTTATATGTGTGAGAGATATCTGTTGTTTCAAGATGATAATATATGCTGAAATCCTTAAATTTACAGAGTGGTCATCTACAGAGTTAAAGATTGCCCATGAGCTCTATTTTGAATGATACAAAGGGCCTCCTTCTTCCTGTATGAACTTGAGTAAACTATTTTTCTAAGCCTCACTTTGCTCACCAGTGAAAGGTGTTCACCTCAAGGCAGGCACCTGTAGGTAGCAGCCTCTTGGTAAGCCGAATTACTATTAGTACCAATGAACTTACCAGATAGCCAGAGGAGAAAAGGGGATATATATATATATATACTCAGTTGAAAACCAAAGCACTTGAGTGGACAAAAGCAAAGGCCAAGGGCTGCATAACACTGACATTTTTATTAGAATTCATTTGTAACAAATGGAACTTGTGTCAGCAAAGAACTGATTTTCATACAGACTTCTTTCGCCACCAATGTAACGAAGTAAGAAAATAAAAAGCACGCCTTTCATTCTGTAAAACATTTACGCGTACTACTAATTAGAGGTAATTGTATTTTTTAACAAGCCATTTTACAAGTTATTTTTTTTTTAATTTTTCAGTCTATGCATCCAAAACGAGAGCAAAGAACACAACTGTTTTTATCTTTGTAAAGACACTCCAAGCTTGAATGGCAAAGCCACATACAGATGGATAGGATGGATCTGTAGCCTTCTGATCACTGCTGGAGTATCAGGGCACCCATAAACCCGAAGGAAATCAAAACCCATAAAGGAAAAAGAAAAGGGAATTAAAAATAAAAAGGAGGGACTAAAACAAGGCAAACCCAAAAATAAACAGGAAAGAAAAAAATCTCTACGTTACTGAAGAATTTTTTTCCCTTCCTGCATCGATGTTGTGTTATTTACATACACACAAATGAATTTCTGAAGCAGTTTCTTACAGATGGGTTCAAGTAATAACATTATTGGGTGTAGAATCAATAGGGCAGTGCATAGTACAAAGGTATAGAAAGTGCAAAGTTCCCTAGAGGCCCTTCCCTCCCCTGGCTGTCCTCGCCGTTGTCTAACCATGCAAATCATTTTTAAAAAAGAGCTAAAATAAAGTTCTGTACAAATCACTTTTTATATATTTTGATTTTTTTTTACCATTGTAACTAATTACAAAATTATACATAACTACACGTACATAGGTAAATAATAGCACCGTACTGGTTATGATGATGAAAATAATTGGAAACTTGAAAGTTTATGGTTATGGTAGATAAAGATGTTTACCTGGGAAAATCAAACTAGAATGGTTGCACAAAGTGGAATGCACATCAATGACAGTAAGGGAGTTAGTTCTCTGAACAGCGCCTAAACAGTAAGATACCTAGTCTCTGCCTCGTTTGTATGGTATGCATCCCATTGATTTTCTTCTTGTGATTATTCTCCTCTTTCTCTTTGCCAAATGGACAGTTTTTACTTCAGGGAGAGAAATTGCTCACTGGCCAGTTGTCTTTGTGCGTTAGACACCATCATATTCTACATGTCTAACATGGCATATCTGCAAGTCTGTCTGACCCCCTTTGTTTCACTAAATGAAAATCACAGCACTCAGTAATCTGGCACTTGGATAAATTTCCAAAAGATACAAAGTAAAAGAAAACAACAGATCCACATAGTGCACATTCTTCTCTGGTTCTGATGTAGGTTAGAGAGTCTCATTCTGAGGTAGCCTTCTAGATACTTTTTTTTTTTTTTTTAGTATTTCTTTTTTTTTTTTTTTTTTTTTTTTTTTTTTTTTTTTCCTTTTTATACAAAAGTGCTCAAATAAGATGCTTGCAAGTGTTTGGTCTCTTGGATTTCATTCTACTAGTAATGGTAAAATGTGGAAAACAAAAATCTTTGTATGCTGAACACCAATGAAGTTAAAATTAAACCAAAATATTCTATCTATACCAAAACTCTTTAGGAGTTCCTTGGATATTTTGAGGGTTCTTTAAAATCATATAAGATATGGCAAACTCATGCCATTATCCATGGCTTCCTATAGCAATTTTGTTGGAAAATTTGGAATTATATTGGGAAATAAACAGTTGCTCAATTTCCCCTTTTAGAAAAATCCTAATGGACTAGTGAGTATATTCCAAAGTTGACAATGATATTTATCACTAAAATAAGTTTGGTGTAGTTACTGAATGTTACAGAATAGATTTGGAAAGGATTCTAAATAAAACAAGTAGCTTTTCCTGATGTTGGCAATCATGAAAGGAAGGGCCCTGATTATCCAAGTGCTTTGGGCTGGTACAATCACTAACATCCCCGACTTAGTTGAAAACTAGGAATGCATATTATTCAAAGAGTTTTTGTACATGTGGTAAACAGATAATGCTTTAATTGGAAGAGTAACATATATGAACAACTAATGAAAATAACCAAAAGCTAAAAAGAAATGCTATTAAAATAGGCATCAATTATAAGGCACTCTAAATGCATAACTAAAACCAAAAGGAAAAGTACAGCACTTACCAGGAGTGCTGTATGCCACAAAATGTTTCTGACTGAATAGAGTAACATGAGTTTGGCTTTGCCCCTGTTACATATCATAAATGCAAGTTTCATAGCACATACTATAGACAATATACGATTGAATACATTGTTTTTAAACAACTTGATAGCTGATATATTACAACATTCTCCCCTCCTAAAGGGATATGCACTGACCTTTCCCACATGCACACCTCTTAGATAGTTAATAATTTTTTTATTGCACTAGAGTGTTAGAAATATTGAACTTTGTTGGAAGCCTGGCTAACAAAGGATATCTGAATATGAGTAGGTGGGTGGGGGGAGACTGGGTAGGAAATTAGGGGGTGAGGTTTGACAATCACTGATGTGCATTCCTCATTTCCCTTAAAATTAAAAGTTTATGATATTAAGAAATACCCATATGTCATAAAATTAATAACAAATTGAAAAAGATGTTTATAATACCTTTTCTACCTAAAAAAAGACCCAAAAAAACAAAAACAAAAACAAAACAAAAAACAAAACAAAATCATGGAAGAACTGAATGATAGCTATATCTATCTTTTCGTGTGGACACACTGTCTATATATACATAGACACCCCTGTAAAATATGGATATATATGTATATATGTTAGCAGCAACTTTATACTTTGCGCCTCCCTGTTGATTCCAAAAATTAAACAAAACAAAATGAAGTTCTCTTTTACTGTTTGAAGAGAATGGGTACTTTCTCACCAACCAAAACTGAACAGAAGTGTAAAAGTAATCTGACAAGACCAATACTGTAGATTAAGAATATTGCACAAAAATGTGCAAATGTTCAAATTATTTGATATTTCTACAGCAAGATATTACAGATAACAGTTCTACAGCTTAAAAAAAACCTACAATTTGGAAATAAAAAATGAAGAGTTATGTATCTTTTTTTAAAATTCACTTTATCGAATGATACATTTTGTTAAAAAAAAGTTTACACAGTTAAAAATGAAGCACAGGTCAGCAGTATCTTTACAATACTAAAAAACTAAATCAAAGACTTTCTTTTTAAACATTTCCCCCCATTCCCCCTGAAATGTTATTATGAGCAGTATGGTGGGAAGGGGCGATGTCGCAGCAGAGTCCATTTTATCCTATGAGAAGCCACACCAGCAAACATCTTGCACTGAACTGTAGGACTCTGGCAATTTCTCCTCACACCTAACAAGCAATCCTGGACAAGATGGTGGTTCTTTGCTGTGATTTCTTCTTCACTTTATTTTGAATCCTTAAGGTATCTGTAAATAAAATCCTTCAGATGCCTCATCAGTCAGGATTCTCTTTATTATTTTTCAGGTTAGATTATTAAACTGTGAATTCTTGGTCCACCCAGAAGAGTTTGTTTTTATTTTGTTTTGTTTGTAATAGTCCCACTAAGTGGTAGTTAGCTAGAAGTTAAGAAGGACTTCTCGAGTGCCCTGTATGGCTCAGAAGAGACTCCGTGGATACTGAAGGGCCTGCAGTAAGAACCCAAAGGGGGTCAGGGGTTTCTACGTTGCATAGTGATCAAAGCTGCCCAGGTACTCCAGTGCGGCTCGATAGCAGAACTGGTACTGGTCCTGCAGGAGACCAAGCATGGGAAGAAACAGGACAAGTGGCTGTGAGTACATTTTAATAGAAAGATGAAAATCAAATTCCAAAACCAGTTACAACTAGATGGGGGCAAAATCACTACTCTCATCAATTAATTCAATCCAATGATTGATCCGTTTTAGTGAGCAAAGAATGATCAGCCTCATGGGGTGTCTGTTCACTTCACCAATCAGTTTGACTAAAATAGTCTCCTTATTCCTAAGTTGTAATGGCTAGAGTGAATATTATCTTCCAGACAGTGTGAGCATTTCTCCAAGCAGTACCAAACAATTACCAATACCGAACATGTGAACATATCACTGCTGTTTTTTACAACTATCTGCTTATTTGTGATAACTTATTCTCAGTTTGCATATTAAAGACAGGCTAATTCAGAGACACACATTGTCCTGAGGAAAACCTGGATTCATTTATCTTCTGGGCTATTGAAAAAATAATTTGAATTAAAAAAATCGTATCAGATAGTAGACCTTAGTACCTGCAATCAGAATTACCCACCATCATTTCTGATGTTATTATTTAAGTAAGGGTGAGGAATAGTAGATACATAAAGCCATTTACAGAGGGCTCTGGAATTTCAAGCTTTTCATCCCCTGAAAATGGCATCAAGACTGGCTGCCTATATCAAAAAACACCCGTGTCATTTGGCCTAATTCAGTGTGATTGTTGGTTATCTGTTCTAGAACGGCCTACATTAAAATAAAGTAACTTGAAACATGTCCTTTTTCAGACAGGAAAGAACATTGTCATATTGGAATAAGTTGGGGCATTGTTGGAGAGAGAAAAAGTAGAATTTTTGCCATAAAAGAAAGTTATTTTCAGCAGCCAATGGGGCTGAAAGTAGATAGTTTCTATTTTGCTTAAATGTGCATTTTTTTTATAATAAAAATGGTAATGCAAAATAAATGGAATTTGCTTCCCTATGTTGTCACAGTAAGCTGCTTGGCTAAATGTTAAAGGGTTTTTAAACGTCCAATTTCCCTCTGCTACCCCCAGCACCCATTAAGTTTGTCAGGCCGACATCATGCTTTGGGCAGTGCAAGCCAAATGCTTGTACTATTTTGAAATCACAATATGGAAGATATTGCGGGTAATGAATTTAGGAATACATATAAATTGTATAATTTGGCGGCCTTTTGAGGAGCAGAAACACTCACTCATTAGAAATGAACAGTCAATATGCCAGACTGGCTATATCACAAACTCATATTATTCTTAAAAAAAATAAGAATTTCATTATCAGTTATTAGGAGAGAATATGGGGTATTAATGTCTCTAGGGCCTTTCCAGGATCCAAATATATAAAATGGCATACACAGAGGGGAAAGAATGAGGTTCAAAAGTACTAAACAACTGGATTTTTCCTACAATATTTTCCTGTATCTTGTTCTGGTGTCAAGAGTCTCTGGATTCTATGAGGTCCTGGCTAATAAAACCTATTACTTGGTTCTTGAGATGTGACAAACTCATGGAGATTTTTCTCACCTCTGTCTGTACCATGGCTGGTCGTTGTGTTCTTAACATTTTGACAGTCTGGAAGATATCTACAACTCCTTCATATCTCATTCTTTCCAAAACAATGCTTAGTGTTATGAAGACTCCAGTTCTTCCGACGCCCGCACTGTCATAATGACAAAGACAGTGTTACTGGATGCGACACTCATAGTCTTCACCACGTTTGCTTGGAAGCAGACATATGTGCACCTGTTTCCATATGACATCAGGTTCTTCCACAGCAATGTTCAGGAAAATGTGGTGTTGCATTAAAAAATGACTACTCTTAGGAAAATGTGTCATGGTAAAATGTGAGAATGAATGTAGGGTAATTAAGTCCTACTAACACAATGACTTTTCAACTGGGATTTGGTAAGATGCAGGAAACATAAATATGGGAAATAAATAGATGCAGGGAATGGTAAGTCAAATATAGGTTAATACTCTTCATGCAGATCCTGAAATTGTAAACCTTGCCTGCTTAATATTTTTAAAGTGTGAAATAATTTTGATAAGGTAAGGTAGACTTCAATTTTATTTATTTCTTATAGTCATTTACAATCTATGCAGGATGTTTCATTATTTAGACATGTCAATAAATAAGAAGGCTTATAGACTCTTCAAATTTAGACATTAGTTTTGATTTGAGAAAACAGATTCTGTTATGGGATTTTTTGATACAGGATTCTTATTTATTCTTTAGAAGGGTTGGTGAATGTCTTATATGTACATATTGTGTAAATGTATATATATTTGTTCTCTCTGCTGAAAATTAGGACTTTAACAGATTCTCAAAGGGGTCTTACCTTAAAAAAAATGAGCTATATGTTTATCAACTAGTTTTAGATGTTCAGGAGCTAAAACACCAGGATTCTTTCTACCACATTAGCAATGTTTTGACTTTGTTTTCTTTATTGTTTTAAGATAATTCCAGAATGTTCACTGCAGCTAGAGAAGAAAATTAATTCGTAGCTTTTGTGCTCTTAAAAAGTAGGAAAGCATCTGGAGGTTTAGGTAATGAGGAGAAGAGTGAATAATCTGAAAAATCCCTACATTTTTGGATCCTAATTAAACGGCATGTGTAACGCTTGGGTACAGGCTGTAGAAAATGGATGGATTCATTTACTTGGGGATGTAGCTGACAGGCATATATAAATAGTGGGTCCCTTTATAAACTGGGTTTTCTAAAGATCCCAAACAGAAATGTTAAGTGCAGCTTTAAAATCCATGGGCAGTCTTTACGAAGTGGCTTAAGATGTCCAGGAGTAGTCAAGGTTCTCTGTTAAGAGAGTAGATGACCTTGAAGGTCCCTTTCAACCTTGAAAGTCTCTCTTACTCCTGAGAGGCTGTGATTTATGATCTTTTTTTTCCCCCTGAATGGTCCAGGTATTCCAGAGTCTATTTAACCTTGATTTGATTGCTCAAATGTATCAAAATATAGGATTTCTGGATTTCTACTAGGTGCTTTCAAGAAAATAACAGACAGTGGCCTTACAACTTCTGAATTTATTGACTTCAGAATGCTAGTTTAATAACTTGTAAATGAGGTGAATAGTATTTTAAGGATATTCCCAGATAAGGTAAAATATCTAGAAGTCTTATATATATATATACATATATGTGTGTGTGTGTGTGTGTGTGTGTGTGTGTGTGTGTGTGTGTATAAACAGGTCATAGGTAAACTCCTTATACTAAAGAAGTATTTAAATCATTTTGTGATGGTAAAAGCAATGGGAAGTAAACACATTTATACACTTAACTTTATGGCAATGTCTAAAGTTAAAAATATGTATTAAATATATCCTTTTTTATGGTTTATACTAGAAAAGTTTGAATTAGCATTTGGGCAACTTATGTAGAAAGTTAAGGGGAATGCTCAGGTAATTTAAGTCCAATCTATACCATCCATTGTGTCTGAATATTGGAGTGTATATGTTATTCCCTATATGCTCTTTGGTTGTCTAGAACAAAGGATTTTGGATAACTGAACACAAAGCTAATGTGAATAAATAAGATCCACTACTCATAGAATATACCATGTCTGGGGAACATGATGTGCTAGAAAGAATCTCAGAGATGAGCTGAGAAAATTGACATCAAGAGAAATCGCCCTACAGTCACAGAGCTAAGTGATGACAGAAGTGAGGCTAGAACTCAGGTATCTTAAAGCTTAAATTGAATATTTCTCCTATTTTGAGATCTTGTCTTCCATATCACTAAAAATCATAGTTTGGCATCTATGTCTTTCTTTTATTTTCCGTTTTTTACCCTTCCTTTCCCCCTTCCTTTTCCTGTCTGTTCCCCCTTCCCTTCCCTTTCATTTTTTCAAGCAAAATAAATTTTTAAAGTAAATTCCCTTAAGATTTTGACCATAAAGGGATTAGAAATTGAGACTTCAAATTGATAGAATCTGAAAATATGTTAGTTTAAATAAAATTAGGTGAATTCCTTTTGTTGGAGGGTTTCTCCATAACAACTTCCAAAAGCACTAAATTTATGGTGAGTGTCCTTTCTGAACCGTTTACTTGCTATTTCTATTAACTTCAATGACTTGAATTATAAAATGCTGTGGAAACTATTGAAAATAATTATCTTGAAGGTGCTTCATTTTCTGATATAGCAACAATTTTCAAGCAAATTGCAATTTTAACTGAGGTACCATTCTAATCATTTACTGACTGGCAAGAATTAGTATTATCATTAAGGCTTGATAACTATTTATGGGTTTCCTAAAAAGACAAACACAGGAGATAGAGAAGAATAGTTATCAGTGTAATGCTATGGAAGTAGAATAAGTAAGAAATAATTAACTGAACAAATTATCATGAGGGGATATGACAACAATTCCTGCTAAGGTAAACTAGGTAAGGGAAAAAATGCAGTTGGGTCTTTGTTAAAAGACGTAAAATTTGGGGATAAAAATCTTACCTCTTGTTATTTTCATTTATTTTTGAAAGGAGAGAAATGAGACTTGCTTTAGATTTTACAATATATGTCTGAGAATAAAATATCAATTATACTGATTCACTACAATAAGCTTGTACTGACAATGAATAGAAAGCAATGCACATTTTCAAAGTTACTATCACATTCATCACAAATGGAAACTCATCATTCTTGATGGTTAACTCACCTGCAATGGACTGAAATGGGCCCATCTTGGCCAAACTGCTCTTTTGTTTTATGTACTTGGCCAATGAAGTCAATAAATCCTTCTCCAGACTTTGGCACTCCTTGCTCTGGCCAGTCAGTGAACTGGAACTGCCTCACTGTTCGGGACTGTCCGTCCTATACAAAGAAAGCCACATACCCAGCCACAGAGGAGGATACCAGGAAGATCCAGCCAGTGTACAGACCACAGCAGCAGGAAATTTTTTTTTCCAAAAAGAATAAAAAAAAAAGAGGTGTGTGTGTGGGGGGGTGTTAGAAACATGTTTAACTAGAAATTTAGTCACATGTGTGTCTTATCTGTTATTAACACTGTCTATATTCACATATATTTAAATTGCAATTTCAGTCTGGCAATGCCCAAGTAAAAACCTGGGTTCTTGTAAAAAGCCATCTAGTTCCCATATTAGTAAATGCTTCCATGATCCAAAATTTGCCTTCAAAACCAAAGTGGAACATATATACTCTATTTTAAAAATTTCAGGAGCCAATAACTTAATATTTAAAGGAGCAACTAGGCATGTCATCTAGACCAGATATTTTGCTATTGTCACAATAACTTCCCATCTGCTGTGCTTGCTTATATCTAGCCTTGTCAAATGACAAATAGTGACACTAAAAGGATCTGACACCAACTGGGTAGCTGTTAATCTCGATGCCCCACGTGTCTCAGAGGCATACAATTTCTAGCCATGGTAGTGTATATAGCGTGTGTTATGCAACTATGCTGTTGGGTGGGAAGGAAGTAAGGGGTCCCTCAAGGAGATAAAAGAGATTATTATCAAATAAACACTCTATTCTGAAAAAGCGCTCTTCTGGCTGACCACAGGAATTAGGCACTGTGGGGAGTTTAACAGACAGACCAATGGAAAGAAAACAAGCTGGATATGAGAGGAATCTTTAAAGTGATTAGGCAAAACTACTCTGACTCATGAAGTAGAAATGATTTGAGAAAGATCTACTAATGTGCCTCTGATTCCTTCTAGAACAGTGTTTTCAGAAGCACAAGAAAAGCAGAAGGGACCCTCTCTTTAATTGGAGAAATAAGAATTATGGCCATAAACTTTCTTCGCTGAATCCGCTGAGAGGGAGAGGGTCCAAATTCCATGCTTGGAAAGACTGATCCTATTTGAAGAGGCTCTGCTCCCAGTTAAGCCTTCAACTTGTTCCTCCTTTCCATTTTTGTAACATCTCTTTCCCCTTTAAAGGCCTTTGGATATGGGTATGCATGTTCCCAAGATTCTGGTTAAGTAGACAGAGACCCAATCTTTCCCATTCAGTCACACTGAGAGGAGGGGATGGCTTAGCTCGAGATGGGCATACATAACTTGTGTCTTGTGTTTTCCACAGGAAAAGGGCATATTCCTGACTGTCATCATTTGATAAAACAGGAAGATCACATTAACTTTGTGGGAACACTGAGGAATATGCAAATAACTGCTTGGCCCCATAACTAACTTATGGATGGTAACCATGGAAGCATGATTTACTTCCCTCTGTTTCTGGAAAAGGTTTGGAAAGCACAGGAAGGAAGCCAAAGACTAGGTAATGCAGATTTGTCCTCCTCTGAATATCCTGGGGATTTCATTTCTGACTACAGTTGCTTTTAGCAGCAAGAAGAGGTCATGTGCACAAACCCTTACTATTTGGAGGAGACACCAGCTGACTCCATTTAAAGGTTACCTGTTTAACAATACTGTCTTCCAAGTGCCAACTCACTCTCTAAACTGCTTTCAGATTAGAAACACACTAGGAGCACAAACATCAAATGCTATGGCAGCTAAGAAAATTATAAAATCACAGGGAGCCTTTTAAAAAAATAATTTGAATAAGTTCTTCAATATTTCTTTTTCTTTTTGTGATCAGATTTAATTTGGGCAAGTGAGGAGTAGTAAAGAAATTGTGTCTGTTATTTGCAGGGCCTAACCCCCAGTCTTTACCATCAGAAATGGTTGGTGAATTTTCTTGGAATGTACTTAAGGTTTTCACTCACATATCTATCTTCAAATTATGAAAGGGCAACTGTGTGTATGTATGTATGTATGTATGTATGTATGTATGTATAACCAAAGCATGCTTACTTGGGCAACTTAAAAAACTCAACCTACGGACTTAACTGCTATTAACTGCTATCTTGAGTATGGTCACCTTCAGAGTAGTTAAGATTTCAGACTTTCTGGGATTAACAGATCTGTCACCTGGGCCAACCAGTCTGCTAACCAATTTCTCCTTCACTTTAGGCCAATAGCCAGGGCACGGCTTTGGAGATTAGCAGACAATCTCTAAACATGAGTATTGGCTGGGAAAGCTGCTGTCCAGAAAAAAAAAAAAAAAAGGCAAAAAAACAAAAAAAAACAGTGGATCAAGTAAATAGCTGTATCCTGGAGTTTCATTCAACCCACCTACTGTGACAGTTCCAAAAACAAAGCAAGGCTTTGGACTGACCCTGCTCTCTCCTAAGATATGTTTGTAATCATGGTTTGAAAGTGGCCAAAGGCAAGGATATTAAAGTTTATGCACAGAACATCTTACATCAGGGCTGAACCTTGGACTCAGCAATCTAGATAAGACATGCAGAATGAAAATTAGCCAACAAGGGTCGTGGGTGCACAGCTCTCATGGACAGACACATTAGCACACCGAGGAATAAACCATGCCAGGAATCAAATTAGAATGTGCAAAGCTTGTCAGAGTCTTCTAAAGAATGCCATTTGCTCTGCAGTTTTAAAATCATACCAAATTAACCTCTAAGTCCACATGACCTAGAGGGCTTTGCAAAACAACAACATATTTACAGCCTCAAGTAATGAAGAAGTCAAAAAAGCTCCAAAGAGAATAAGCTGAGAAAGTGAATATATGCACAGCCAACCAATCAGTAAATGCTTCCCAGGACACACACTCACCAAGTGTATCCCCAAAGTTGGGCTGCCAGATGTTATGTTTGAATGGAAGCCAAGCCTGCATGTGAGGACACTTGCCAGACAAAGGAAAAGTTACTCTTACAGTAAAAAAAAAAATAGTCCTCCAGATAAGTTATTTCTTTACACTTTGGGAGTATGATCACTTGGCAGATGTTTCTCCAGAGATGCTTATTTATTTTGAGAGAGAGCACATGCGTGGGTAGAGAGAGAAAGGGAGAGAAAACACCCCACTTAGTCTCCGTGCTGTCAGCACATAGCCCAGTGTGGGGCTCGATCTCAGGAACCCATGAAATCATGACCTGAGCTGAAATCAAGAGCTGGACACTTAACCGGCTGATCCATGCAGGGACTTCCCCAGAGATTCATTTTAGACTGTTTTTCAGCTAATGGTTAAGAGCATAAGATTGTGCAAACTTACCCTGGCATCTGTGACCTTGAATTCTCTTAGGATATACTGTGGCATGTTGTACTCAGCCATGGGATCTACAACAAAGTACTGGTATCTTGCAGATCGTTCTGCGGGCCAGTATTGGTGACATTTCTCCTAAAAGGAGAGAGGATTAATGTCAAATCATACAAAGTACAAATATTATCTAATCATCTATCAATCTACATATTTCTTTCTCTCATTAAAAAGGTTCAAAATTCAAGGCCATTCCAATGGCATGTGACCCATTTTCTCTTTGAAGCCATAAATTCCCTGAGAAGAGGGAAATCATGTGGTTTAATATTTGCCCATGGTACAAAGCACAGAATTGGCATACAGAAGGTTATTAATACACATAAATTAAATTGAATACTTTGATAGCATAAGTGTCTTCATACCTACAAGTTCTCCAAATAATTACACCAGTCCTTGGATATAATGCTGGCCCTATCCATCATGCATTGCACCACCAGAGGAGACTTGCATCAGAGCATTATGGAATAATAAGAACCAGCAAGTGTGAATGGAGAAAGAAACTTCTATATTGATTTGGTCCAGTCTCCCTTGTCAGCTGAGGAAACTGAAGTCCAGGCAGTTTTAATGATTTGGCTAAATTTTGCAGTGTCAACTCTGAAGAGTCAGAATAGTCAAGTTAATTTCTTAGTTTGGCATTTTTTTTTTTGCTTTCTTTATGTGGTTTAAATGATGGGTTTTAGATCCATCTCTACCATTTAATTTATACAAAGAAGACAGAAAGAAAATATCTTAAGCAAATATAGCAAAATGTTTGCATCTATTGAATCTAAGTGGTAGTTCCTTAGGTATCTCTAATACTATTTATATTATTTTATTAGAGAGAGAGAGAGAGAGAGAGAGAGAGAGAGAGCAAGCTGGGGATGGCAGAGGGAGAGAGAGAGAAAATCTTAAGCAGACTCCACATCCAGTGCCAAGCCTGATGGGGGCTTGATCCCACAACTGTGAGATCATGACCTGAGCAGAAATCAAGAGTCAGGTACTTAACCAACTGAGCCACCCAAGTGCCTCATATATTATTTTATATATTTTTCAGAATAATCATTTTCAAAAAGTAGAACTGAGATTACCAGATTATATCCTTGGAAAAACTATGTAACTATTCAACCTGGGTGGAGAATGGGCAAATAAGAATTTGCTTCACAGATGTAAGGAAGTCAAGTTCATTCCCACAGAGAAATGAGGGTACATTTGCTCATGAAACTCCAGCTTTTCCAGAATAATAAAAAAAAAGATTGTGCCTGGAAACAAAATACTAGATCTTTCTCCAAAACACACAAATTAAAGAACTTGATGTGGCTTTGCAAGTTAAAAACCAACAGAGTAATGAATGGCCCAGAATGTGACCAGAGGACTCTGCATTTCAAAGAAATGATGTTGGCCCTTGGGTTATTAGAATGAAATTGTCATTTCTTCATGGTGAATGTCTTATGAGAAGACACTCACTCTGCCCATCTCACGCAGCTTGGTGAGCATCACAACGATGGTGGAATTGTGTTCCCAGAGCATCCGCCAGAAGTCTTCTGTGGTCTCTGCCAAGGGCCCCTGGGTAGCAATGTAGGCTTTCTGTTGTCTGAATTATAGAGAATAAAAATAGCATGTTAAAGTAATCAGAGAACACGCAAAGGTTCACATATGATATGTAAACACCAAACCCAAGGATGAACACTGAAAACATATTATCATTGCAGTTGTAGTAAATGTCCATTAAGATTGTGTATCAAATAAGAATGTTTACTATATTTGAGGGACTTTACAAAAGAAATTGCTTTGTTACTATTATCATGTAGGTCTTCATTATTATTTAAATTTTAGTGCAATGCTCATAGCTCAGTTTTATGTATCATACAAATCACTTAAACACTGGTGTGGCTTTGCTTTGTAGAAAGGACTCTTACATAATCTATTACATTTATGAAATAAATCTTCTGTATTAACTCTTTCCACACCCAAATGGTTTCTAAAGGAAGAGTACAAAAGGCAAGAATAAAGAATCCATGACTCCTTCTTCTTACTCCTACCAAAAAACAAACAAACAAACAAACACCAAGGGACTGAATGCTGACCTATGCATAAAGAAGATGTTTTCAATTGAGATGAAATTCATTCTGGCTTATGAAACTGGGGCACATGTAAATATCAAGGCTTTGGACTGTCAGGGGAGCAAGCGTATATACCTGTATCCATCAATAAAACTGGCATTGATGTAATCAGATCCTTCTACTCCTCGGATAGGCTGCAGGCATACCCTTGTGGATTCATATGGCATAATATTAACAAGGCGATTTTTGAATTTATTACATGGAAGATTGGCACTGATGAATCTTGAGGTGTGAGCTTTAGAGCTGGCTAGACGCTGTTGAATAGAAAAAAAGAAAAAAATCTGACAAAGATAATTTTAGCCTACAGTTAGACGCAATGTACCCGAGATTTCCTCTTTAGAGGAAAACTTTAGAGTAAAGCTTTTGTTTATTTTAAAGCAGAGGACTCTTCAAACTGCACTGCTTTTCACTTCTACCTAATGATTCCATATAGTCTACTGACTTTTTAAGTATGTTCTGAGAGTACGATCTCTCAGTTTAAATTAAGGTACAAAAGAGCTCGAGGTATTGTTAGGAAGCAAAGGACAGAGAAAAGGGAAAGAGGAAGAAAAGTATTTTATAGTCAGACACCTGAGAAGGTCAAGTGAATCTTGTAACTTCAAAAACTTGAAAGGTTAAGAAAGTGAGGCCACTATTCAGAGACAATCCCAGAATGACTTGCTTCTGAATTACCACATCACATCCAATATCATACCTTAAATTCAAGCTCCATTCCTGTGACATTCTCTCCTGCTTCTATTTGTGTCAGCTTCTGAATGTAGGCATACAAGTTTCTAGCTGGCACTTCGGTATTTCCACAAGTCACTGCTTCTAACAGTGCATCATGGATAAAGATGTATTGGTCTTCTGTTTGAACCATGTAATTCCTCTGGGCTCTCATTAAAGTTACATGGCCATAAATATCTACAGTTTTTTCATGCTTTATTCTTTCTAACATGGCATCTATTACAATGAAACAGCCAGTCCTGCCAACTCCCGCACTACAAGAAAAACAAAAGAAAAGTCTAAATAAATCTACCAGGAAACAAACACATTAAAAATTATTTTCATTTTTATTAACTAAGTTTTAAATCCATTAATTCTTTTCAACTAGCTATTGGGATTATTTTGGAGCACTCTAAAATAAAAGGTATTATCAAGTCACCGTAACCAGAGGGGAGGGAATCAAATACCAAGTATAATTAATTTGGTTTCAAAATGTAAATCCATAATCACTATGCTCCTTGATCATGTAAAACAAAGCATACATTATTTTGAAAGACACATTTAAAAAACACATTTAGGTTGTTTATATTAGAAGGTATTTTATAAATTGGTTAATATCTAACTAGGCTATATCTTTTTGCAAATCTTCTCCATTTATTTCAGTTCAATTTGCGAAATAAAAACTAGAAAATCATTCAGTATGAAATATTTCATATTCTAAAATGCAGCAAGGAAGTTTTAAGATCAATTTAGTGGGAAATATATAATTAAGATATTGAACTGCTATTACACACTAAAAAAAAAAAAAAAAAAGAGTAGGTAATTCTCAATGGAAATAAATTCCTAATAAAAAAACAATCACTAGAGAGTACAGGCGAGTTTTTCCTTCTCTTCCAGAGTTGAACATATTTTGAAATTCCAGGTGAAATTCAAGTATTCTGTGTGGGAAAATAAAAGCTTCAATCTTTGTTATTGAAGAAGCTCTGAGGCATTTTTTAAACTCCATTACTTCTGGACTTATGGGTCATTTTCCAGTTGGTGGAAATGGATTCAAAGAAGAGAAGGTAAGAGAGAGCAAAACCCCAAAACAAGATATGCTGTTCCAAGGAGACAATCTAATTTACTGAACTGGATTACAGAGTCAGGTGGTTGAAACATTGGAATTTCCTCAAGTGTTGGAAAGAATACTAGCAAAATAACACATCTGTGTTCTTAAATCTCGAGGTAAGTCTTGTTTGTCTCTTAGCAAACTCTTTAGAGTGAGTCCATTTATGTGTCAAGTATGGTTGAATCCAAAATATTTTTCTCTTCCTGATCATGGATATTTACCTGGCTGGGAAACATGTAATCAACAGGAATAGGTATACACAACCACCATAGATACTAAACAACAGTCTCCTTCATTAGCTACATGCCACTGTTTCCTGTCATTTGCGTATCTATGCATTCATTTATTTGTCCATCTGTCCATCAACATATCCTTCTCTTCATTCAATGAACAGTACTTTGTTCAGTAACATGTGGGATACAACATTAAAGATGACTTAGATCTTACTTTTAAAGAGCTCAACATCTATTAATGAGGTAAAAGGTTACTTAACTATTTATACTAATGGACAGAAAGAAAACAAACAAAAACCAGGATGTGTTGGTTTTGTGGATGATGTGGCATTTGAACCAGGACTTGAAGGACACAAAGGACGGGGAATTAGGAGGCTAGAATAGCAAAAGAGAAAAAAATGGCTTTTGCAGCCATATGTTGGCTTTGGGAGTTACATATGAAACTTTTCATTGGCCTAGTGAGGCACTTGTACAAGGATGATACCAGAACTTCAAATGGATGAGTTTAGGGAGCACTAGGGTACCTGACTCAATTGAAATGGCAATTTCTCTCTAGTGCCAAGTGCCTACAAGGTGGTAAGTGAGCATTTTGTAATAAATAATACTTATTATTAATAAATAATATTCATGTACTGAGCAGTACAGATCAAATCTAGCTTCCACGCAAAGGCCCTCAGGTTTGTAGACTAGGTTAAGCAGGAATATGATAGGAACACTATTTAAAAATTGCTTACTTTTATGTCCTGTCAGACATAAAAAATGACTGTTAGTATTTAGTCAGAGAGCCTCTGGATTTTCATTCTAAGACTGCATTCAAGGTTTAACCACAAAGTGATACTACACTGAGATGTAATGCAAAAGCTTTTGGAGACAAAGAGTCTTTGAAGTGACAGAAATTTTTTTTAGCACACAACAATTAGAAATCTGATGCACCCAGATCCACAAAGTCCCGTTTACTTAGTTTGTTTTACTAATAAAACCGGGAGATGGCAAGCCTTCCCTGATACTCCCCATTACCCCTCTCTCCCAGTCCCTAGGCAGGATTAATCACCCTCTGTTCCAGATCACCTAAGTGGTATCTCAAATGCCACTCCATTACAGTCTCAATCACATCGTATTATTAACTAGTCTGGTAGGGTCGTCATCCTCAAATCATGGAGTATATCCTGAGAGCAGGAACTAACTTTTCTGTTACCTTTTTGTGTCCTAAATTAAGCATGAAGTCGGTGCTTAATAATGTTTGTGAAATAAGAAAATAAATCAGTAATTGGCATCAGAGGCCTTACATAATGAGCAGCCCATCCATGTTCGGTAAGCCTACTGAGAAAGAAGGACCCTTCAGTCAGTGAAAGAAGCTTACATTTGACAAAGGTTCAGAATTATGCAGAGAAGGCCTGAAGACTGCTCCACAGTGCTAGGTAGGGAACAGGGAGAGAGGAAAATGCTTTGAGAGGCCTCTGTGTCTGGGTCTTCTGATGTGTCATCACAGTGCAATTAAAAGAAACTAAGTAAGACTTAACCTGGAGAAAGGGGATAGCCCTCACATTTAGGAGGTTCTAAGACCATGAGTAATATCTTTTTTCTCTGCGTTATTTTACTTAATTATCTTCATCCTAATTGTGCATTGTTTCTAATTGTATACAACGTCGTGCAATTCTTTTTAGTGCAAACCATGCCATAAGCCTTATAACTGAGCCCTAAATAAGTCAATTCTAGACAATGGCAGGTATATTTTCCCAAAAAATGCAGCAGGGACCATTCCAAATGTCTATATTCTGGATCTATATTCTGACAAAAAGATATCTTGGGATCTTGGAAAATTGGTAGGAATAACTCCAGATTCAAACAGTAGCAACCTCTTCATGGTGGTATGGATGCAATTTCCCCAAAAAACTGAGGGAAAAAATCAAATATGTGCCTGAGTCTAAATTACAAACTATGGGGGAAAAAAGACAGAAGAGAGGCTATTACTTGTGCAAAACCTATTTCTTCTCCGCCAATTCAAAATATTGTTAATTCCTCAAACTTGCTATTCATATGGAAGATAGGGAAGGAGTGGACCCTTTTAATTTATGTATTACTTCATCTTTAGAAGGAAGAGTTCTTGGGTATTTAAATGTTAGAGAGGTTTCTTAGCTTTAAGTAAGATCATGAAGTTCCACACACTTTTTCCAGATACCAATGGCTGAGTCTCCTTGAGACACTTAAACTCTTCCCTGCTTTCCCATTTTTTTCTTAAATCGCGATAGTGATCATTAACTCTAGTTAATTACTTAGCAAGTTTTAAGGCTGAATTAAACATGCCAAGTGTTTGCAAACATAAAGGAAGACACAGTAACATTGTGGGTGCAAACTCATTTTAAAATTCTACCTCTGAAGCTGACGAAAGGAATAGATAATGTTAAAGCTGAGAAAATTGTGATACAATCACTGCAGGATCATTTAAGATTGGGCTTTCAACATCTTGCTTTAATCTACCCCCTCAAGCTGTTCTCCCCTTTCTCTTCATATTTCAAATAAATAATATCTTACATTTGAAGAACTTACTACTTTCCCATATATTGTCATGGTAAATGAGATGCCAGCAAAGTGCCTTCCAAACACACTGCTTGGTTCCCGGGAGGCACTCAGCAAATGTCCGTCAGTTCCCTTTTCCCTTCTATGATTTATAACATCTGGGAGCTGCCCTAAAGTCCCACAGCTAATAGTAAATGGCTGAAGAGGGGCTCAATTGTAAGTTGTGAGATGTTAAATTTTAGCACGACATTCGATGGTGTTGCCACTGCTTTCTGCCAGTTGCATCAGAAAAAAAAATGGTGCCCTTCTTGTGGCCCACCCCTCAACAACACCCCTTTAGTATTGTTCAACGATCCTGAACGTAGGTTCCTTAAAAACCCTTTCTTCCTTGGTTTCTGTTTAATTCCTGTAATGATAATCCTCATGCTTCTCTGGATTTTTCCATCTGTATCTCTTTCTCTAATTCACATACCTTAGCCAAATGCCAAAATGTAGATAATGTCCCCAAAGTTCTGTCCTCATTTCTCTCATTCCCCTTCATGATTCAGCAATAATCTTCAAACAGATGATTCCTAAGATGATATACTTTTCTTTGAGCATAAGTGGAGACCTATATTTCAAGCCACCCTCAAATTTCTTTAGAGATAAATAGATTCCAAGATTAATCGGCATCTTCTCTGTTCAAATCTGCTCTTCCCTCTCTCTCTTTCCTTGCTATTCAAGGCTAAAATTTAAGAATCAGTTTGGACTGTTTTCCCCTCCTTCCCTGTACAGTAATAAATTATGAATTTCTGTGCTTTCAACCTCTACAACTTTATTCAATTATCCATCCATGGTGTGCTGGAGCCAGCAGTAGCCAATTGTTAAATTCTCAGAAATTTTGCATAAATGTATTAAAAATAAGGTTATACACAAAACACACTACTTCTTAATTAGTTTTCATTTATGCTCTTGAGGTGAAACTATTATATGATGATGTGCTAACTGAGCCTCTCTCCTGAGCTTTGCCTTCAGTGATGTCACATTTGTACCTTGAAATCAGCCATGGTGGGAGGACGTACAATGAGGAAATTGGCAAATATTTCCCCACCCCCACCCCCACAGAGCTGGTTGTTACACATTGCCAGTAACTATTGACTGTCCTAACTCATCCATGCCCATCAGCCAGGAACAGACAGGAAGTTGCTCATTACTTTGTTTTTCCATCCACATTTGCTACGTCCTCTCATAAGACTCTATAGGCTAATATTTAAGGAGTGCCCACCATGTGCTAAGACATCAGGGAAGTGGTGAGCAAAGTCAACAAGATCTTCTACTCATGGAGATTATGGTTTAGTAGGAGAATTAGATAGTAAGTGATCATATGAATAAATATACAATTATAAATCTCCAACAACTGCTATGAAGTAAATGTACA